TTGGTTAGGAATTTTCCCGTTTCCATGAGGAAATTCAGCCTATGCTTGATGGGCTGCTGAACAACAGAAATGAGTGGAAGACCCGTGCTGATGAGTATGACGCAAAAATGAAAGCTCTGGAGGAAGAAAAGAAAAAAGAGGAAGAGAAGATGGCTGCAAAGAAAGGTCAGAAACAATACTTAGCTTTTCATTCCTAACTCAAAACCTTGCTTATCTGATACTATCTTGATCTGCAGAAGGCTTTCCTGACATGGCAAAGAGTCAGATGCCCAGAACAAGTTCCCTCAGTCTTGCTCCACTGGCGACCTTGTCTTCAAACCTGACACCATGACAGGCTGTCAAAAAAGGCCACCTGCTCAAATGCCCAGGAGCTACTGCTTGGGAAACTAGTGAGACTACCTTAAGCACAAGTGCCCATGCAGATGGGGACAGCAGAAAGTTCTTTGCATACACGTATGTCCCTGGAAAAGAGCAGGGAGACATCATTTTGCACACAGGGGCTGTGCCCAACATGCTGTCCCATGGCCATGAAGCAGGAGTTAAGAAAAGCTAACACACTCCTAGTGAGAACACTTGAGGAATTACAGTTAATCCCATTTCTATCCCACAATAGGTACTACCTAGAAGCAAGCAGTAGTAGTAATACCTAGCAGCAATTTATTTTGGTCAAATCTATTTTTCCCCTGTGGGTTCAGCCTCAGTAGCACTGAAATCGATCAGCTGCAGTGGGTGTTGGGTGAAAGCTTGCTTCATAGCCTGAGGATTTGTTTCACTCTCAGAAAAGTGGAAGCAGAAGGCCCTCCTGGCCTTTCCCGAGAGTCTGAGCAAATACCCATCAGAATTTGGTGCCTCCATTCCACAGAGACTGCATCTGAAGTATGCTTTTGTTCCAAACTGGACACAAATACGAACATGAGGTGGACATTCCTCAAATGACACCGTTTGGAAATTATTAGAGCTGTCTACGTGTCTTATTTCAATTTAAACCACAGTAATTAACTTAAAATATTGAAAATAAGTGCTTTAGCTACGATTTGGAAAATTTCTGGAGAATTATTTCCTGAATAAGTAATAGGTATTTAAGTGAGGAACTCTAAAACACCCTCTCCAAGCAGCCTTACATGTACCATAACTTTGCACAGGAGACAGCTCTAGGTATGGGTACTATAGGTATGACCCACATTGGTCATTGAATTACTTAAAAGTGCTAAAAAACTCCTGTAATGACTGAGAAGGACATTTATGACTGTACCTCTAATTCTGTGTTTCTTTTTATATGGCAGATGGAATAACCTGTAATGGAGGAACAGCTCCAGCTTCCAAAACCTGTAGCATACTTTAGACCTATTACCGATCCAATATATGCCACCCAAAATGAGAATGCCCATGCATTTAAAAAAATTAATAATATCATGGCGTACAAATACATTCCTGATTGGACTGTTCTGCTACTTTAATTAGGCTTATGATCAACCAGGAAAGGGCTAGATCTCGTTTGCCTTAATTGCATCATCTCTTCCTGATGGTGAGGAGCCAGTTCTGTCCTGTCCGTTCCATTTAATGCACCTGATGTCAGATGGCATGTCGCAAGTCAGAACAACATTTGCCCCAATAAATCAGGTTGCATGACTGTGGAAGAGCATTTCTCCTGCACTGTAACACTTCTTACTCTAAAGCTAATTAGGCCAGTTGAACTCATATCCTGCTCCATACAACCCCATGTGATTGACAATGCATGGAATCATAGCTTGCAGAGTAGGAAAACTGAAGAAGAGCCAATTTTATCAAATGTAAGCTTGTATCTCTCAGGATATCAGGAAGAAACCTGTGGGTAGGGATAAAGCATGAAAACTTGCCATAGTAAAGTTTTTAACTGCTCAAAAAAGTTACGATTCCATGTAAATCCAATAAATGGATTTTCAAGAAATTACAGAAATAACAGTCCTGGGCTCACTTTGAGAATTTGGACAGGTTGCTGCTCCAAAGCATGGAGCCATTTGCACAACAACCAGTAGCTGGTGTCTTCATAAGCAGGATCCACACTGTGCACAAACCAAGGCTTCGCTCTGTAACATGTGATTGTAAGAAGACGGCGTTACCATTACCCAGTACAATTCCACTTACACTTATCCAAGCAACCTGAATGGTGGCATCTCCTAAATTTGTTGTTTTGCCTCGTGATGCCAATGTTATTTAAAACAGTCCTCTTCCAAACAGTACCAACCCTCCTTCTTTCCCTCCTCCTCTTCCAAGATGTCTGTTTTTTAGGTTCCCCTCCAGACTTTGAAAGACTGATGACTTGTACTCTTTTATTTCAGAGAAAAGTTAGTTTTCATGTTTATTCATGCATCCATATTAGAACATTCAATTGCACTCTTGTAGCAGTAGAAACAACCTTCTCTACTCCTCTGTCTATCTTTTTTTTTTAAAGTGTTTGGAGATACGTTTTGCTGGGGATTTTCTTCTTCTTCTATTATTTCTGCTACCTTCAGTGCTTTTACCCTTCAGTATCTTGTTTTGCATTATAAAAATACTGCAAGTAAAAGAAAAACTAGAGCTATGATGGTACCTGGTGATCATTTATCTGTGTCTCAATATAGTAAGAAAGATGTAATCTTCTATCATGATGCAGCAACTCTGTGAGAGGCAAGTTCTCTTTCAGGAAAATACAGAAAGGTGTCCACTTGCACAAAAGCTAGATATGCCACTAGTAATGGCTTCATGCTATGTGTCTCAGTTTCATTAAGAACCATGTAGGAGGTTTTCACCATACAGCATACAAAGCCAAACAAGTTGTTTTTTTCAGCGGGAAAAATGCCCCAAGGTTATCGTATTCCAGTGTGGTGAGCAGTGGGCTTTTAAAGATCACCACAAGCCACTGTGAGCTTAAATGTTGGGAAAAGCTCCTGATGTCCTCAAACATTTTCTGGGGAATAAAGCCAGGAGGCCAATCTTCCTGCCCTTTGTGCCCAGAGAAAGGTGCTCAGAGTGCTGCAGGGTGCTCCGGCAGGGCTTCTCGCATCAGGATAATGGGGTGCCTGCCCAGCAGTGCTGGTGGGACCTGGGACTGTGGGCAGCTGTGCCCCATCTGCCCACAAGCACCTGGGAGAGCAGCTTACCCCCCACAGCACTGGGTCAGGCATGCTGCTTTGTGCTTCTGAGGGGGACCATGCACACATGCATGCAGAGGGGTGCCTGGACAGGCAGGGTGGGGTGCTAGTGGAGGAGGCTGTTTCTTCAGGCCCATTTCCATGGGAGCAGGAGGATCTCCAAGGCTCCCTGCTGCAACGGTGGTGCTGGGGCAACTACCATTGCAGGTATTGAGTATTGGCTTTTTTTGGCTCAAACGTGGCAATCTCCCATTGCCTGGACAGAGTCAGGTGGCAGAGGAGGGTGGGATGGCTGTAACAAGGCTTGTAGCACCTCTCCCACCCACAGAGGAACTTACCCCAGGTAGGAGGTATTACAAGGACAGCGTCCTCGCCCTGGTCTGCAGCCAGGTTTTGAGGGCTGTATGGAGAGGTTGGCACTTCTGCATCATCTTGCATAGGATTCTTGTACCCTAATCCCTGCAGATCTGGCAGACATTCAGCCTTTATCACCTGGGTTACGAGGGAGAAAAGGGTCCCAAATAGAGGACAGCTTCCATGGGAAGGCACGATGCAAAAGGCAACAGCAGGATTCAGACTGAGTTATCTGTGAACCTAAACTAGGCAAGTCAGCAGAACTCCAGGCAACTAATGCTGCAGAAACCTGTGTATGGCTGCTGCGTGATGTGTTCTCTGTGAAAAGAGGCCTTCACCACTTACTACCCCACTGTATGGGCTGGGATCCTGCTCTGTGAAAGACACACTGCCCTCAGGTCGGACTAAATCACTGCCGGTACAAACACAATAGTGGAAGTAAAAGTGGGTCCAGCGGAGGGCCACAAAAGTGATTACAGGGCTGGAGCACCTCTCCTGTGAAGACAGAGAGAGTTCATGTTGTTCAGCCTAGAGAAGGGAAGGCTCCAGGGAGACCTTCTAGTACATGTAGGGAGCCTACAAAAAAGCCGGAGAGAGACTCTTTACAAGAGTATGTAGCGACAAGGGGTAATGGCTTCAAACTGAGAGATTTAGATAGGTATTAGGAAGAAATTGTTCACTATGTGGGTGGTGAGACACTGGAACAGGTTGCCCAGAGAAGCTGTGGATGCCCCATCCCTGGAAGAGTTCAAGGCCAGGCTGGATGGGGCTTAGAGCGATCCAGTCTAGTGGGAGGTGTCCCTGCCCATGGCAGGGGTGGAACTCAATGATCTTTAAGGTCCCTTCCAACCCATGATTCTGGTTCTATGAAACTCCATCATCCCTGGCAAACTCCACACTTCAACAAGGTGGAACACACTTAGCCCTCCAGAGAGTAGCAGGCATAGCTGTTCCAGCAACTGGGTTCACTTCCAGCAAGCAAAATATAAAAGCAGTACCTACTTCTATGGTCAGGCCTTAACAGAAGAGCAGTAAAGGTTCAATTAAATAAGCATCTTGTTATAATCACATTTTGCTCAGGCAAAGTCACAGATGAATACCAGGAGTTAAACGTTTTGACCATTTGTTAAATCTGAAAAAGTGTGTGTTCAGAAACATCTGACTCATGGGTCAGCACTAATTCCTCAGATGTCAGTGTGAATCTCAGCCAGAATTGTGCAATAACCCACTGTGATAGTAAAACTGAAAAAAAAAAAAAAAAAAGATGACAGCAACTCCCCAGTAAAGTCATTTAATAAAGAGGTTCAGGCAGCAAGTGTGATGCCAGCCTCTCCCACCTGCCCATATTGAATTGTATGTCTTTTCTGATCACAAACATTACCCAAGAGTAATAGGTGTAGCCTCTGGCTGTTGCTAGAAGAATACAACAGGGTGTTTCAGCCACAGCAATGGCCAGCTTGTGACAAATGGTTCCTGTCACATTCTGTAAGTACTTCTGCTGCTGCTCTGTGCAATTCACTCAAAAAATACAACCTGAAATGTTCCAAGTACTTTATTTGATAGAGTAGCATGCAGAGTCCATCAACCACTGGACACTTCAGAGCCTAGCCATGTATTTCCATGTGTGAAATTAAGATGCAATCTCTTGTTCATTTCAATATGGACTCTTCACTCGCTAAAAGGGAAGAAAAAAAAAAAGCTAGAGTTAGGACTAGTAGTCATTCCCATGTAGTATTAAATATGCAAAGCATTAGCAGGATCAAAGGTAGCTTTAAGTATTCCGCTTCTTTCTAGCCACTTTTTATGATCCCCCTTCTGCTTATTCAACAGAACTGTATTTCATTGCTTTGGGGTAAAGGCACTTTTTTCAGTTACTCATTAGTAAATGACAGTATTCTCAACTGACAATTCAAATAAGCCCAGAAAAAGCTACCATTACAGACACGTCCAGCTATCCATCTTTAAAGAATAATCTTCAACAGCTGCACTGCACTGAATGAAGTTTTAACAATTTAATAAATTAACAATAGTTTCTAATGGAAAACCACACCAAAATCACTGTTGGGAAAGCACATCAGTCATCTCTGTCCCACTTCTAAATAGATTAAACATTCTAAATAAATAACCACATAATTCCATTTTTAAGTGGAGTTGCAACACTGCAGTACAGCATCTACCTCCAAAAATACAGAAATTCTCAGCTAAACTAGAAAACATCTGAAAGACCCATTTATTTAGTCCATGACCAACGGAGACTATATATTTACAATGGTAAAATAACTGTGCAAAATGGCTTCATCTCTAGTAAATGATATAAAATCAAATATGCAAGTTGCTAAATTGTATGTGCAGTTCAGTTCAGTTCGTTTTATGAGGTTCTGCTCAACATTAGTCTTGTTTAAGACAATACAAATATTACTACAGGAACAGCTCGAGTTTATGACAAATTTTTTTTAAGTTCTTCTTAACTGTAAGTCCACCTAAAATAGCCTAGGTGAAGGCAATCTGGACAGCACACTCCTCTGTAAGCCAATCAGAGTGCACAGAAATGCACAGGGCACCCAGGAAACGATCCTAAGGACAAGGCAAAGCATAATGCAGCAGGAGTACTATACAGTAGAAGCGATGGAGGAAAAAGCAGCAGTACTTGTCCCAACTGATCACCTTCAGCATATTCTCTTTATGTGAGAGACACAACAAAGTTGACCTGTAACATTACGCTAGTGATACCATTTAAAAGTTTGTGTTGCGGTCAACTTCTGGTTTAGATCATCAGTCACATTTGTGAGATTTCTGTACTGCACGGACAAAAGCAATCACAGGTTTGCTGTCTCCAGCTGAACAAGGGACATCTGAATACAGGTAATATACTGTTGCAGATATTACTTGCAGAATAACCAGCAGCTTCTAGCAATTTGTTTTCTCAGTGGAACAGCCATTTAAGAAGCCCTATTTAGTTCCAAGAGTGTTTTTAACTCTTCCTCTCCTGGTGCTCACATTTTGAAGAGCTTGTCAAACAGCAGCACCATTTATCCTTCACAAAACCCTAACCACTGCCCCATGGATCCACATGGGTCTGCAGCCCACTGGCTGCATGCCTGAATTTCTCCTACAAACACTGCAGTCAACTGGCAGTCCACCTGCAAGCCAGTGTGTGCATTTTGGTGCGGCAGGATGCATAAACTAAATAAAGGGACTACCTTCTGCAAGTTCTTTTGCAATCCGCTCAAGCTCTTCACGTTTCTTTTTCTCTTCAGCCTCTATTCTTCTCTCTTCTTCGGCAATTGGCTTTAGGTAGTCTGTCATTAACACATGTGATTTAAAACACAATTTCTAGCCTGCCAGCTCACTCAGTAAGAAAGAAAGAACAGTTTCGCTGGCACAAAGGCAGGTTTTATACGAATCTGTGACTTCGGATCAGTAAAAGCCCGCCTCCGAGGGCAACCTCGGCGAGAGCTGGGCAGCTCCGGCTACGGCGGGGCGGGGGAAATGGCGGCCGGGCCCGCACCGCCCGCCTCAAGGTGCCCTTGCGGGCCGGGCCGCCAGAGGGAGAGGGAAGGAGGCCCCCGGGGGACGCACTACGGGAAGCCGCCCGCCACCCTCACCTTGATGAGCGGCGAGACCTGCACCGGCGGGATCCTCCTGTTGCGGGCCGGGCCGCCAGAGGGAGAGGGAAGGAGGCCCCCGGGGGACGCACTCACCGTATCGCTTCTTGCCGTAGATCATCCCCATCAACAGGGCCGAGTACCGGGTGAACTGCGGGAGGCAGAAACAAGGACGCATCCGTCGCCCACTCACACGCACAGCCAGAACGGGCCCGGCCCGGCCCTGCCCTGCCCTGCCCTGCCCTGCCT